TTAATTTTATTTAAAAATTTGTAAATACTTTTCAATTTTCCAGGCAAATTTGCCTGGAATACAGTTTAAGGGATAATGTGAATAAACCTACTGGGGATATAAATTTCTTATTTCGAATGTATCAATTTATCATATATATTCGCTAAAAATTGATAGTAGCAAAAGTTAATTAATTTAAATACCTTTAATTATATTTAGCAAACGCAAGACTCCAAAAGCCTGAGTATCTTATTTTCTTAAAACTTGAAAACCTAGTTAAATTGATCTTTAATTAAATTTCCAATTAAAAAACTTTAAAATATACGAGTACACTAAAGAAAAACCAGTCTTTAGGCTTAAAGTTTGCAACTTAATGGCAGCTAGCTCTGAAATATTTGATGTTTAATGAATCATATTGTACAGTTATATTTTGCTAGTTAAATTTTTAGCAGTTATAGCATTAAGTTATAAACTTAAAAGTCTAAATCCTGGTTTTTCTTTGGTGACACTCAAATTATAATTAATTAACATACTTGGTTCAAAAAGCAGCAACAATAAGTAGTTAGGCTTAAAAAACTATATATATACCTTGCCACGTGGAATAATCTGGAAAAAATCTAGAACAATTCGATGGGCGATCATCACCAAATAAGGTGTGATCTGCAATAACCAAATATGGTATATTCCCAGACTGAATTAACTTTGGCGACTTTAAATTTTTATAACATTTCCTCTTCTAAAGTTATTTTATTTATTAGCGACAATGCCGTGTATATGAAAAAAGTCTATTCGGATATATTGGTTCATTTAATGCCTCAACTTCGTCATAATTGTTGCTTTGCTCATATTTTAAGCTTAGTTGGAGATTGTTGGGTATACTTTGATAACTTTAAACTTCTTGTATGTGTAATCTCTAGTATTAAAGAAGCTTTTTCCTATTCTTCTACTCGTAAAATAAGATGGTTGAATTTTCTTTCTTCAAATATTATTACATTAGAAGGTTCCAATCTTAGTTTACAATTACCTCTGTTATTTGTAAAAACTCATTAGAATAGCTAGTTTAATTTTGTTATCTGGATGAAGTCATACTTTTTATATTTAGTTCAGTTTTTTATTATGGAAAATACACTTAGTGATCCTCTAAAATTAGTTAAAGAATTAGCAGAAATTTTTTCAAATCATGAAAATATTCCAGTGATCAAATTAATCATTGAATTTATTACTTTAAATGCACCACGATAAGTATGTATAATATACCGTATATATTAAATAATATAATTACTAATAAATTATATATTTATTAGTTTAATTCAAGACTTGGAATTCTTTAAAATACGTAATAGGCCCATAGCATCTTATGTTTTTCATGAATTAGTCAAACCCATGCCATGCTTGTAGCAGGAATTGAAAATCCTCTGTTTAATACTTTTATATACAACAAAATTCAAGAAAAAAATTTTAATTTTATATTTTTCAAGTTAATTTTTTCACAATCTTTCCAACTATCATTTGACAAGCTTACAAAACATGCTGATAATTATTCTGCATTATTACTTTTTAAAGCAATATGATGTTTTGATCCAAAGTTTATTTGTTATTCAACATCATGGCAAGATATTAATCTTTATACTATTATAAAAAATTTTAAAGTTTTAAGTGATGATTTATTAAATGAATAGAATATTTATTGTAGATTAGATGAGGAATTAGATGAAAATTTAAACTTGAATCGATATTGGAAAGAAAAATTCAATGATTTACCTTCACTTTCAAAAATAGCTTTATTTTATACCTGGTTACCTGTCTTTGGCGTTGATGTTGAATGTAGTTTTAGCAATTATAAAAATATTTTGAGTGATAAGCAACATAATCTTTCACAAAATTCTTTATCAATGCTAAATTTACTTTATTTTAATAGGGCTATTTAAATTTTTGTTACATATATATTTTTTACAACGATAATAATTTAGTATAAGTTTTTTTTTATAATGATAATGATAATTTTTGGGGTTTTTTTTTCTAATGCTAGATTTTTTTTTTGTCAATTTTAAAAATTCGTAATTATCATGTCATATCAAATTTACAACAATAAAAATATGCATGAGGTTACTTACATAATAATTGCACAATTTTAATTTATCACTTCACACCGTAATGCATTTCAAATCGCATAATCTGGTGTCTCTAATATTAGATAGTAATTGGGTGAAAATATAGGTGTGATTATAAAGAGGTTTTTATATGATGTGATTATATAGGAGGTGATTATAAAGAGGTATGACTGTAATTTCAAAGTTGCATTTTTCACAATTCGTATTTACACTTTGACGCGATATTTAGTTGAAGCTCCGATCAAATAACCAAATTGGCTCGGAAATCACGGGACCGACACTTTTTTGCGGCACGACTAAGCTACTCGCTATGATTATCGATTATATTTTAATTTTGTTTGGCGGCAAATTCTGATTGGCTAAAGGGCAATAGAATATAAAGTAACTTATGTTAAATGGCCTTCTAAGTCATTTGGGTCTCGAAATGACCCAATGACTAGGTCATTTGTCATTTGGGTCATTTCAGGTCATTTACTATCACTGGTGCAAGTAAAGAAAGTCAAACCTACGACCCAGAATAACCCCACTCACCAAATATAGCCGATCGTAAGTTACACGGCGCCTTGGATTGTGGAGCGACTGACTCGCCGTTTTAGGGTGTCAATATAAATCAATTATTCGGAAAACTATATTTTACGGTACTTTTCAAGTTTTATAGTACTAATGACAAAGCATTACAAATACTGAAATATCATTCATAGCTTTAATGAAGTATCAACGTTCATTATGCGAAAGAATCAAAAAAATAGAGTTCTTAAAGAACGAAAGAAAATTTATTTTAGATTTGACTTATAGTCGTAAAAAATATAACGTTAATACTACATTTATATGAATAAGGGTTTGATCTTTATTGGTATATGATCCGGACTTAAACGAGTCGTGCATACATAGTCTGAATAAAAAATATTTGCTATCCCTAAAGGTGAATTCGTCCCTTGATATTCACAGCACTACATTTTCATTTGTGAATGTGCTATCAGATTATTAAAGTGACAAAATATGGGCTTTTGCCTTGAAAATTGCGTTATGTGACATGGTAAATAATATGTCCCATAACATGGTTTTCATGGCAAAAGACCCCATATATATCGATATCAATTTCGCGTCGAATTAATGCAGTGCCAAAATACCGTTATCTTAAAGGTCACGTGATATGTGTACCGCAAAAGTTTCATTTTTATTTTTAGATCTGACGGTTATTTTTTATTAATGTGGCGTTCTTGATGCATCATACTCATATAAAAATTTTTTCAAGACTTGAGCAAAGATATCTCGATGACCGCCCAACTAAATTCAATAAAAAAAAATAAAAAAAATAAAATTTATCGAATTTATTGGGTAGTTTCCGAGATATCTTCGCCCCAAAGTTTTATAAAAATTTTCCGCGGTTGAATTTTGATAGAACTTTGAGCGACAACCACCTAACCAAATTCGATGATTTTTTTTTATTTTGATCCTACAGAACTGCAGAATCAGAATAAAAAAAGACTCATTGTATTTAGTTGGGCGGTCATCGAGATATCTTTGCTCAAATCCTTAAAAAATGGTTAATTTTATGAGAGTATGTTGTATCAAGAACGCTATATCATTTAGGAAGTGTTGTTCTCATGCTCTCTTGAGAACATTAAATTGATAACATTCGTAGGATGCTCTCTATAAATTTTTTTTGAGAACATAAAGTTTGAAAACTAATGTTCTCTATCTAAATACTGTATATAAAATGGTATGCCTAAAATTTCGATGTAGAAAGTGAACGAACCTAACGAGCAGTGTAAAAAATTCGATGTGCGCATGTGCGGATCGCACATGAAATTTTCTTAGCCTGAATTTTTTACACCGATCCCGATTAAAATTAATCGCTAATTTTTGAAATAACCGCAGATCTATCAAAAATGAAACTTTTGCCCAAGAGCCCAACAAAATTTGCACTTTTCCCGTGATATACCGTACGCATGTGATTTATAATGTAATAGAATTAAAAGATTATGAGTGGCTGCAGATTTACTAGTACATATAATCTGCCAGAAAAAGAAGCAAAGGATATCAAGACCAATGGACCTGATTTCTTAGTTTTCAAATGTTAATTTACAACTTTACAGCTTATTTATATCGAATAATCGTCGTCGAAAAATTATATAAGTTGTTTCATTAAGTATTTGATAACATTCAGGAAAGTATTTTATTAAAATACAGTATCTCCTCCTTCATAAAACACTAAATATGTAAATAACATAGTCAAAACATATATATAATAGTTATTTAAAATATTAATACAAGTAAACTAATATAAAGCTAATATAAAGATGCTTAAATTTTTTGAACCGACCTGGCAATTGATTTCCTGGGAAGAAATGCCTTTCTACACCGTCCTCAGTGATAATAGCGATTCTAACGCATCCACCTGATGATCCATCTCGTGACATGGCTAGGGTGACAGCTGGTAAAATTATTTTTCGAGATTATTATTTAGAAAAGTTACAAATCATAACTAAAGATATTAATGACTTTGGTCAATTGACTTTTTTTATAATATGTGTCCAATTTTGACCAGCTGGTCTCATATTAAAGAGTCAATTAATTTTGTCCATTAACAACAACCTATAATAAACTAACCATTTTTCACATACTCTACGGCTTCATCTTGCGTCATATTCTTCTTAAAGTTAGCGTCACAGTAGCCATATATAAACGAAGATCCACTACCTGGGGTCATATTCGTAAAAAATATTATGATTAATAAAGGTGAAATCTTATAGGAAACTAGAATCACACCAAGTTATTACGCGTACCTCCAATAGTGAATGGCTGTCTATGTAATGAACCACCTATTGGAATACTATATATGGTACCACCATTGCGTTTATCCCATCCTGCAACAATAATTCCAGCTAGTAGATGATCCTTATTCTGGTAACACAATTCTTGGAATAAGGCGGCTGCAGTTTGTACCGATGGAGGTTCGTTATGCTGAACTCTAATTAGTAAATTGCGTTAATACTCATCATATTTATATATATAATTTCTAAAATGTTTTTTCATATACACAATACTTACGCATACATCTGTAAGTAATAACGAACGAGATCAGCAATAAATTGTGTATCCGCAGCACTTCCAGATCGACAACAGTATATTTTGTCATGAATTGGAGTTAACTTGTCAGTAACACGATTGGAAACATAAGAGCCTAGGGTGGTGCGACTATCGGCTCCAATGACCACACCACCTTGGAACTCAACGGCCATGGTGGTCGTCTAAAAAATAAACAAAATGATGCATGTGGATATATACGTTAATTCTCTTCACACTTTTAATAATGATTAAGCATGATCCCCAATAAAATGACTCGTTCTACATTTTTTAAAATTCTGACAAGTATAGAGAAAGTAGTTGCTTTATTGTCATAAATTAAAAGTACTAAGAGTGCTTGAGCTGTTACAAAATATTAAATCATACCAACCCCCAAGTTAACTTCGTTAGGCTTCAATGACATTATTTAAACTGTAAAAAGTTCTGAACGAAACTTTAGGTTTTTATATAACTGATATAAGTTGATCCGTGTAACATAGATCAAAATTTTCATTTTGATACAATTTAATGACTCAAAAGCACGATCAAAATGTTCAGAATATTCACGCTTTTTTGTTCACGACGCATTAGCGTTAAAAAAAAAAGATTTATGTCGGATAAAACTCACTCATCGGTCGTCGATACAACTGAACGCCTGAATAAATTACGTACTTTATTCGGCGATTATGACATAACAGCTTAGTACGGACCTCTTTATGTACTTATATATTTAGCAAAATTGTTGTTTGAACTTATTTCAACACGCAATTCTCTAGCATAATTCCTTCAGAAGATTCACACCAGGTACGAAATGTGCTTCTTTACTTAAAAAATCATTAATTGCTCTTTTCTTATGCAGGTTCCAATATGTTCACTAGCTTGCCTACATATTTAATTTTTTAATTTTACTTTAATATACATTATTAAATTTACAAATTCTAGAGTGAATATGTTGCAGCCTGTGACGCTCGAAGGTCTTTCATTTCTGGCTTCACGGGTTCTGCGGGTAATTCACGTTAACAACGCGTATATTTTATAAATTATTCAGGGTTCACCAAATGACATGCTGTAAACAATGTTTTTTTCTTAGGATTGGCTGTAGTGTCTAATGATGCAGCTGCACTTTTTACGGATGGTAGATATTTTCTTCAAGCGAGTAAACAATTGGATAATAACTGGAAATTGATGAAACAAGGTTTGCCGGATGTTCCTACCTGGCAGGAATATTTGGTGCAAGTGAATATTCATTGTTTACAATTGATTTTTTGTTCTACCGCACTGATTAAAAGACCCGGGTCCTGAAGCAAATGCCAAGTCAAAAAACTTATAAAATACGCGGGTATATTGTATGAGTATTGTACAGCAGAGGATTACTCTTGCAAACTGGGAAAATTTCAAGTGCATACACGTTCCTCATTTATGGCATGCACTTTAGGACTTAAAGAGGGATGCGTTTTCACCCGGGTATTACATGGAGGATATAGTAAATGGATCTTTTAATCAGTGCGGCACGGTAAATAAAAAATAAAAATAAAAATCATATACGCATATATTATTCGTATTTATAGAATCTTCAAAAAGGTTCGAAAATAGGAATTGATCCCACGCTAATTACCGCACGTAAGCTTATTTTGTTTATTTTAATAATAATATGTTAGTATTGCACAGACTTTTTATAACATATATATTCATGCTTTTAAAGCTGACGCTAGATCATTATCTGAATCTTTGGAAAAAGTTGGCTCTTGTTTGATACCCATTAGCCAAAATCTAGTTGATGTAGTGTGGGGAAATGAGAGACCTGCGCGTCCAACAAATCCTGTCATAGTATTAGAAGAATGTTATTCTGGTAACGATATTATTTATTAATTCGCTTATTAATATGATTGATACTTCAATTTAATAATCTGATTACATAAACTAGGACGTTCTCACATTGAAAAAATTGCAAATCTTCGTGGAGAATTCAAAGAAAATTTTTATGGTTTTATTGTATCAGGTCTTGACGAGATTGCATGTCAGTAAATTTTAATATTTTTCTATTATATTTATTAAGGTAACACACCTGCCTAAACATCCTTTGAATATATATACATAGGGCTCTTTAATCTTCGTGGCTCTGAAGTCAAATACAATCCCGTTTTCTTCTCCTATTCACTCATCACCAAAGATGAAGCTATTCTTTATATTGACGATCGTAAATTAACCAAGGAGGCTACAGATCATCTTGGACCTGATGTTAAATACCGACCTTACGATGCAATATTCGAAGATTTGCAGAAACATTCTGTCAAGTTGAAAAATGATAACCAGGTTGCAGCTCTATTCAACATATTTACAGTAACATTTCCTGCTATTTTCGTTTTTTTTTTCTTAATCATCAATTCCAATCTTTTTAAAGAAACTCCTTATAAGCACACGAACAAGCTGGGCTATAACTAGAGCGGCTGGTGAAGTATGTATCCTCTTGAAATATTTTTAAATCACCTTGTTACAATTATTTTAATCAAACTTATAATTAGAACAATGTTGAAGAAACTCGTTCACCTGTCACTGATGCCAAAGCAATCAAAAATGAAGCCGAATTGGAAGGCATGAGACAATGTCATTTAAGAGATGCTTGTGCATTAGTACGTATTTGTACACGTGTATATATTGCATGCACTGATGGTTTTAAGCTATATATTTGTACACATGTATGTACTGATGATTTTCGAACCTTTTTTTTATTCAATAATTTATATCTCCACACTAGATCAATTATTTTGCTTGGTTGGAAGAACAATTAGCAAATGGGAAAGTTATAACTGAAGTTGATGGATCTGATCAACTAGAAAAATTTAGAGCGTATGTATTCGTTCTAATTTCATGGTTGTTGGTCAATATTAGGATATTTACTGAATTAAAAATTTTAAACCTTATTTTTAGAGAACAGGCTAGTTTTATGGGTCTTTCCTTCGATACTATTTCCTCATCAGGCCCTAACGGGGCGATTATACATTACAAACCGGAACCAGAAACCTGTGCAGTCATTAATCCAAATCTTTTATACTTGTGCGATTCTGGTGGTCAATATAAGTAAGTCATTTATCTCCTTATAACTATTTGCTTTCATAATTATTTATTATTCTTTTGATTATCAGAGATGGAACCACTGATGTGACACGTACCATTCATTTTGGGACACCAACTGAACAAGAAAAACGCGCATTTACTCGTGTTCTTCAAGGACACATTGCTATTGATAGAGCTATCTTCCCTAAGGGAACTACGGGTGATTGTTTATATTTTGTTACCTATTTATAATAATCATTACAATAATCATTATTAATGAAAATTTGATTTTTCTTAAAATTCGTTTACTATAGGATATTTATTAGATGTGCTTGCAAGGACTTCTCTATGGAGGGATGGACTAGATTTTCGTCACGGAACAGGCCATGGTGTAGGATGCTTTTTGAATGTTCACGAGGGTAAGCCTTGATTTCACTAATGATAAATTTTAATTGAAATAATATTCATAATTTATACGCGTTCATTTAGGTCCACATGGTATTGGTACTCGGATTGTATTCAATGACACACCACTTCAAGCAGGCATGACAGTCACTAATGAACCAGGTTATTATGAAGATGAAAAGTTCGGTATTCGTATTGAGACAGTCTTACTCGTCCGCGAAGTTGAGACACCAAATAATTTCGGTGATCGAGGCTATCTTGGATTTGAACATATAACACTTGTTCCTATTCAAACAAGTCTCGTGGATGTATCCCTCTTGAGTCCGATCGAGCATAAATGGCTCAATGATTTTAATGCTGAATGTCTAAAAAAAATAGGACCTTTAATGAAACCAGGCAGTCCAGGACTTCGTTGGTTGGAGCGAGAATCTGCTCAGCTAAAATAATACTTGTCTATAGTATTACATTATCATTAATTATTAGATCAAGTCAAATAATTTGGTACTTGTTCATCTTTTATGATGGTTTAATGGCTCTTGCTTTGTATCGTTGTTTATATTTTAAATTAACTAGCGAACTTCAAACATAAATGTGCTAATTAAATTTATATCACTGTTTTTTGAAGTCAATTTTGCAATTAGTTGACAACTAAGTTGGCAACTAATCGATCATGTGTTCACATGACTAAAATAATCGTTTAGCAGCATGGTTAAAAATCTGTGACAAATAATGCGTATGACATTAACAGATGATTCATGTGATATTTACGAGACGCTACTAACTTTATTTTTTGAAAACAAGATCAAAGTTTGAAATAATTATAATTGGCAAACTTTTTAAACCTTCACTAAATCAATATTTTTCACTTGGTTATAATTTATATAATTTATTAAAAATTCATATTCTACAAAACAAAAAAATCGCTTAATTTTTCTAATAGAGTTCTAAAAACTACATTACTATCGACAGCGAAAATATAGTAGTCTTATTACCACCTAATCCGATTGTAAAATTCAAAAAAAACCGATTTTTTTTTCATCCGTCAGGAACAGTACCAACGACACATCAGGAGCAACACTTTTGCCTTAAAACCATTCAAACGCTTTCTTATTATCTTTAAAACACTAATACCATTTCAGTAAAGATTTAAAATCTACGATCAGATTCAAATAGCATTTGGATGCATTCTCTTATCTTCGAAAACACCTATATCACTTTGACAATAATTTTGAAAATTTTATAATTTGTAATATAAGCTAAGTTCTTTCTATTAGACGTTGCATAGCTTTAGATAAAAAAAAAATTCTGATGTCAAATATACCGTATTTTCGCAAAAAAATTTTTTTTCGAAAAAGGAAATAATCTACTAAATACATGTATATAATAGTATTTTAAAAAATTAACCAATCAATGGATTTTTAACCATGCTAAATTGTATAGCTGATATTGCTATAGAAACTTAAATTGGAACATAAATTTTATACTGTATAGAATAATAAATTAAATTTTGGACCTATCAGACTAATGCAAATTAAACGATTCGAAAGGTTTTGTATATAAGACAAGCTTGATTTATGAAAATTAAAAATAAATTATAAATAAACTATATATGTATAACCGGCTTCCTGATATATCTATTTACAATTGCGATTATATTATGTAATAAGTAGCTGTTTAGTTGATTATATGAGTAATGGCTGGTTTAAACTTTTTTTAATCGATTAGTTGGAAAGTTGACTTTTCAACTAACGATTTGAAACACTACTTAGCATCTTTTTTCCACTCAGAAATTTCTACTGACTGCACAAACTTTAGATTTAAATTTATTCAGCATTAATTATTTACAGAAAATTACTATTATTAACGCGCCCGTTTTCATCAGCGCTTCAAGAGCTTTAAATTGAATGGTAGCCTTTATCAGGTTTTGTATTCCACTAGTAGCATAATAAATTAAGCCCTGTTGTTCTCTATCACAATGAACGCCTTCGCAGAGAAAAGCCTGGTACTGTAATAGTGTGATAAAATATTAACCCTATTGTGACATATCACTACGAACATCTTCACAGAAAACTGTTACTGTAACGTATGCAAGTTATATTTTTGCTGTGAATGTCTTGAGGGTTAACCGAAAAAAAATCTTTGGGATAATACAGTAATATATATCATTATGCTTAATTTCATCACATTCTCAAGCTTTAACCAATATGATAGTCAAATATTACTTAACTTTGGTATCTTTAAGAGACTTAAATTTTTCGAAACGTAGTTTTGAGCTTTAAATTGAACGGCAGCCTTTATTAACTATTTAAAATTTTAAATTAGTTCATAGTTTAATAATTTCAAAATTCAAATTGAAAAAAAGTTAAAGATAAGTTTTTCAGGTTTTGTATTCACTAGTAGCATAATAAATTAAGTTCTGTTGTTCTCTATCACAATGAACGCCTTCGCAGGGAAAAGCCTAGTACTGTAACAGTGTAATAAAATATTAACCCTATTGTGACATATCACTACGAACATCTTCACAGGAAAACTGTTACTGTAACGTATGCAAGTTATATTTTTGCTGTGAATGTCTGGAGGGTGAAACGAAAAAAATAAATTAAGCCCTGTTGTTCTCTATCACAAAGAACGCCTTCGCAGAGAAAAGCCTGGTACTGTAACAGTGTGATGAAATATTAACCCTATTGCGACATATCACTACGCACATCTTCACAGAAAAACTGTTACTGTAACGTATGCAAGTTATATTTTTGCTGTGAATGTCTTGAGGGTTAACCGAAAAAAATCTTTGGGCTAATATCATTATGCTTACTTTCATCACATTCTCATTAACTTTAACCAATATAATAGTCAGATATTACTTAACTTTGGTGTCTTTCAAGAGACTTTAATTTTTCGAAACGTAGTTTTAAGTATCATTTTTTATTGTTTACATGATACTGGGGCGGGTTCTCTTATGTCAAGAAAATCCCGAGCTGCAGATCACTGTAGATCCTTTCCGATCTGATTCCGGAGCCCAAATATTCACCAATCAGAATCAATTAAATTGAAAATCC